GAGTCCGGGCACCTCCATTCCGGGAATCTGGTGATTTTACGGAAGCGGGACTGACCGGCCTCTGAACGGGGAACACGGCGGGGACGGGGCTCCCGCAGGCCAGGCCGGCCCCGAAGCCCAGCCCAGAGGGCAAGCCAGTGTGGCCGAGCCCCGCGCCGCGCGGTGGCGCGAGATGGGCGGGGCCTGCGGGTGTGTGGGCGGGGCCTTGCGGGATGGGCGGGGCTTGTGGGATGGGCGGGGCCTGCGGGTGTGTGGGCGGGACCGTGCGGAGATGGGCGGGGCCTGTACGTCGAGCTGGCGGGGAGTCAACCTGCGGAGCCAGAGGCCTCTCGGTCGCATTGGCCGCAGCCCCAGGAGCGGAGAGGCCGCCCCGAGCCCCAGCGCCGCGCCCTGTTCGCGGATGTGCGCGGGGGACGAGGAGAAGCCCCTGGGGAGCCCAGCCGTCTTCCGGGGCCTCACCAGGGGCACCATCTGGCCCTCACAGCGTCGGCCTGCGCCTCCGGTTCTCGGACCGCTCACACGGCCGGGGGTGGTTCCTCCCCAAGCAGCCTGCTGACCAGCCGTCGGAGCAGAAGAGACACAAATACCACCGCGGGCTTCGCTCCCGCCCCGTGGGCCGCCCCCCGGGCGCGCGCGCCCCTGCGCACACCTGCATGCACACGCGCGCTCGCACCGCGCCCACGGGGAGGCTGTCCCTGCAGCAGCCGCGCTCAGCACGAAGGGCGCGCACCTCCGCGGGACGCTGGTAGGTTCTGCGGCCGGTCAGCAGACCCCCCCGCCCCCCGCTGTCCACGGCAGGTGTGCACACGCACTCTGGCACTTGCCGCGGAAAGGAACTAAGGCCCCAGACGGCATTCTGCGGGGGACGGAGGCAGGGAGGCCAGCCCGGGACACCGGGCAGACGTGGCCCCAGCCGCACGGTCCTGGCGCGTCTGGCGATGACGAGCCCCCTTCAGGCTGCGTGGCCGGGCTGCTGCCCCAATCCTGGCCCCGGGGCTGTTGGCCTCACACGCCCGTTTCCTGCCTGCAGCGCTTGCAGTCACGCCCCGACCTGACGAAGGCCCTGAGGGACAGAGAACGTGCTGTGCTCGCGACAGAAGAAGACACACAGTGTTCGGCTCTGTTTCTAGGCCTCCGTGGTGGAGGCCGGTTTTGCTTTTTCTGAATCTCCAGTCGGTTCCCACCCAGGCCCTGCGCCCCTGCCGCACCCCCGCCCGGTCGTCTCCAAACACCTGTGTCTCCAGCCTCGGGCCCGCGGGGAGGGTCCGCAGAGCACGCGCGCACCTGACCCTCCGCACACCCTACGTGGGCTTCAGCCACTACCCCCCACGGGCCTCACCGTTGCCCTCGGCCTTCCCGCCGGGCTCAGCGCCCTGAGCGCAGAGATGTCTTCGCCCGTCAGCCTCATGACTGACGCTGGACACGGTGTCAGGACTCGCGTACCTGCAGGTCATGTGAATGGCGCACACAGGCACATGCACACACGTGTGAGCACGCATGTGCATGCGCCGCCCGGGAGCTGACTGGTGTCTTCTTCACATAAGAGGTGACTTCCCGCGGGCACTCACCTGCTGAGCAGGGGGGGAGAATTAGCTCCAGCCACAGCCCCGCACCCAGAACGGAAGAATTCGTGTGGAAGGGATTGGCCCTAACTACCCCCCCCCACCCCGCCACCATGCGGGCTGACCAGGCACCTTCCCCAAGGGCAGCAGGGTTAGGACACGACACGTCACGTTGAGGGAGGGATGTAAGCAGGACATGTTCAAGACAGCTGCTCCCTGGCTGTCCCTCTCCCAGCGGTGACAGTGTTGCCGAAAAGTCACTCTGGATTTCAGACAGGGAGCTCGGAAGGGGGACGTCCTGGTTTATTGCTTGTGCTGTGGGGAGCGTTGCCCAGGGCTCAAGGTCAGGACTGACGGAGCAGCGAGCCACGTGGGACGAGGGGCTTGAGGAAGCCCGAGGGGCCCAGTCAGCCCTGCGGGAGGGTGGCCCCTCCAGGAGTCTGAGTTCCCAGCAGCTGGAGGGTGCAAGCAGGACCCCAGGCGGCCCTGACCCGCACCCGCCGCTCGACCCACAGGAGCCAGGTGGGGTGTCTGCTGCCCCAGAGCCCGGGGACCCTCCTTCTCAGCAGATGGTCTGATGGGACGAATCACCGCCGTCCCGCGCTCACTGGGCTCTGGCCGGCGCTGGGTGGCTGCTTGGAGGCAGGGGGTGTCCAGGTGCTCATCTTGGGGCGGAGCCAAGAGGTCACCCTGCCTGCCGCCCGCAGCCTGCCGGGAGTGTCTCTGCCCAGAGGAAACCGGAGAAACAAAGCTGTCCTCCTGCGGGGGGGGGGGGGGGGGGGGGGGGGTTGCGACCTCCTGTCCTCCTCGGGGGGCTGTCCTCCTGGGGGGGCTGGTGTCCTCCTGGGGGGGGCGTCCTCCTGGGGGCCACACTCCTGGGCAGCCGGCCAGAGACCTGGAGGCAGGCCACTGCCGGGCCGCCCCTGACCGAGCTTCCCAGGCTCCGCCCAGCTGGCCTTGCCTTTTGGGAAGCAGTGGGGACACCCAGCAGGCCCCTCCCAGGGTTCTTGGGGGGCGGGAGTCCATTCAGCGTGCTTCTCACTTCAGCAGGAAGGTCTTCCTGGCGATTCTACAAGGACAGCTTAGCCCTACGACCTCAGCCTCTGGAGGGTCCGGAGACGAAGATCTGGGGGCTGTAGAGCGACCCCCTCCCAAACCGTGTCCACTCTGCAGGGCTGCCTGCCCGTGACGTGGGGGGCAGTGCCCACTTCGTATTACACAGCTGTTTCCGCAGACCGTCTCCACACTGGCCCCCCTACGGCCCCACAGGGCTGGCGGGGCCGTATGGCTGCTCTAGGTTACCCTCGTCTGGTCTGGGCTTCTCTCCCGATACTTGGTAATAATCTCTGTAAACCTAGGGCGGAGAAGGAAAGCACTGGCGCCCCACAGGATGGACCCCACCAAAGTCAGCGTCACAAGCAGTGACCTCAGGGATAAAACGGACCTTCTGTGTTCGAAGGGACTCCGACTCTGCTCTCTGGGCGGAGAAGTGACACGGGAGCCTCGGTTCTGAGGCCTGGAGTGTTTGTGGTGGCCATTCCGGGCCCTCGGCCGCGCCCCCTGCCCCGACACCCCAGGCCGACCTCGCTGACCTGCTCTTGCTCCAGACCCAGCGGGTTTACCAGAAGCCGACGTGCTCGCATAGCATCAGTTCCTCTCCCCTCAGCGTTTCCAGACCCTCCTCTGGCTCCTCGGCGACTCTCCAACCGCCTCCTAAAGTTCAGGGCCCCCCGCCCCCGGGCCTGTCCCTGCGTCATCATCACCACTGGGCGCTTAATACCCGATCGCTGGATGCGCGAAAGACAGCAGCGCGACGATGGGTGCTCCTGCTTCGGGAGAGGAGGAGGGAGCACGGAGAGGGTGTCGGCCCCACCTGGGCCCCCGACTCCACTGCCCCTTCCCAAGAGGACCCGCTCCTTTGTGTTGGTTCACAGGCTCCATCTCCTCCCGGAGCCCAGTTTGAGGACAGGGCTTCCCGCTAATAAAATAGTAAGAGCCAGGGGCCCGCTGGATCACCGCTGTGCGCCTGCACCTGACACAACAGGTAACCACACTGCGACTGAAATAAACACTTTAAGGAGAGCAGATACAGTAGCAATTAGTAACAGTAATGTCTGCAAGCTCACCAGCCTAAAGAACACTGGCACTAGCAGCGGGCAGCGGGGAACACGCCGCCCTGCCTTCTCCTTCGCGGGGAGGGTCTGAAAGCCGAGCCCGACCAGGGCCGGCAGCGGGGGCTCGTCGTGCCGAGATGCGACAACACCTGGAAGCGCTCCTGGTAAACACAGCGCTGCGAAGTTAATTCGCTCAGGATGTCACAACACACGCTCCGTCCACGCCCGCCCGCCCGCCCGCGTCCTGGTGGGAAGGAAACATCCCACCCTGGGCCCACAGGGAGCACATCTGCAGGGCTTCGAGAATGCAGAGCCAGGGTGGGCGGGGGCAGCAGAGAAGCCGGCTGTCCGGTGGGGGCTCCGTCTCCCATCCCGGGGGGGGGGGGCGCCCTGGGGTCCGCAGTCACTCGCACCTGCTCACGCCGTCTGTCCGGTGGGTGTCTGTCCTGGACCTGCTTCGGGAAAGCCTGGCTGAAACACGAACATCTGTGGACTGAGGGCTTGGAGACGTGGTTACGTCCGTGTGGGCTGACCCACTAACGAGTCCTTTTTCTGTTTCGGGACCCAACCCGGGAGCTCCCGTGGCGCTGCTAGTCCTTCGTCCCGTCCGGTCTGTGGTGGCTCCTCGTCTGTCTCTTCATGACCTGGACCCTTGCAAGGAACGCTGGTCCGCTGTTTCAGGCCCTCGGTTTGGGCTTTTGTCCCGTGTCGTCACTGCCAGTCGTTGCTGCAGCTGTTACAGGGCCCCAGCGCGGTGGTGTGCCCTCCCGCAGCCCCTCCCAGGGACAAGCCGCCAGCCCTGTCACTACCATGAGGTGGACCTTGATCGCGGCTAGAGCAGCGTCCGCCAGGTTGCTACCCGTTTTACAGAAGTGCCCTGGGGGAGGGTCCCCGGGGCTTCGCGAACACCCGGCTGCCCGTCGTACTTCTGCGCGCTGAGTTTAGCACCAGTGCCAGGTTTACTGCAACGGCTCCCACTGTGGGTCTTGCCAAATGGCAGGGCCCTCTGCCGTAGCCACCTGCCAGGGAGGCGGGTGGGTACTTCGTGGGCAGTCACAGGGTCCAGGTCAGACCTCGGACGGGGAAAGGAGGGGACCACCCACAACCAGGCCATTCCAGGGGAGGGAGGAGGCCCTGGAGGAGGGAGGAGGCCCCGGTCCCAGAACCACCTGCTGCTGGACACACACACTGGGCCGGGGTGCGTTGCTCAGGGGTGTCCTTCTTTGCAAAGAATGTTCAGGGAGAAAAGACGAATTGATGACCATGACGCACGCACGCAGGGCATAACCACTGGATTTTTATTCAGTGCTTTTAAAATGTCACTGTTATTTCACGTCTACTAAAGAGATAAAACATTAAGTACGCTGAACTCAACATAAATCATATACGTATGACTTCTATATGTATGTGTATATATTTAGCAGCGGTTTTCCATTTCAGCAACAGAAAAAGGTATAAATATGAAACCCACACGCATATGAACTTAAATTTTGTTTGCATATATTACACTATAAATACATATGTTCGTGTTGAAAGGGACAGAATGCCTGGACCCAGCCCGCAGCTCCCCGTTAACTGTCCGCGTCAGTGTCCCCCTTGGGGTCCGAGGGCGATCTTGACCAGACCATCTCCATCCCCTTGGCTGTGTGAGTGATGGGGGCCGGGGTGCCCTGAACAGGGCATGGCCTTTGCTTTGGGTCCTGTCCAGAAATCAGATCCTATTCTCAGAGCCCCGGAAAATGCCAAGGGTGAGCCCTTCTACGGGGCTGGTGGGAGCCGGTGGAGCAGAGGGGGCAGGAACACCCTCACCTGCGCGGAAGGGCCCCCCCGCTCTCACCGGCACCAGGCTTGCTGCCCGAGGAACACAGGTGAGCACCCAGCAGCAGGGTGCTGGGTTCGCTGCTGTCATCCGGGCGGGGGCTCCGGCGCCAGGCCCTGACCTTGCCTCACCGTCCACGGGGCAGGAATGCGAGTGTTCGATCAGACGTGCATGCAGGAAGTTCAAGGGAACAGAAGCAGGCTGGCGGGACAAGCCGGGGCATAGCTGGTGGGGACAGCACGACACCGGTTTGTCCCGGGCGCTGACAGCAGATGGGGATCTGCCCAGTACCTGGGACTCAAAGGTAAATCCCAGCCCCCGGGTGCCTGCCAGCCTGATGCCGCCACTCAGCAGGGATGCGGCTTCCTGGGGCTCCGGTACCCCACAGCTCCACCCTCTCCTGGAAAGGCCCCAGGACTTGGCACGGCTGACAGCAGAGAGAGCCACAGGGAGAGATGCCAAGACACAGGCCCACCGGCTCCAGGTCCTCCTCTGCAGCCCGGGGGGGGGGGGGGGGTGCAGCGAGGGGGTGAGCCCTGTGATGAGGGTGCCCACCTGACGGGGCTGCTCCGTGGGAAGGTGGCCCAGGATCTGGGGCGTGGAGGCCACACAGGCAGGGCCGGCGGGGAGGGGGTTGAATTCAAGTCTGCAAATGCGGGGATCTGACCGCCTGGACCTTCTGCCATGTAAGTAGAGCAGAAACCAGGAGCCCTATGGCCGTGGCTGGTAGCTGCGCATCTCGCTCAGGACATTGATCCATCGTGTTTATGGCAAGACGTGTGTGCGTGCGTGTGTGTGCGCGTGCATGTGTGTGTGCATGTGTGTGCGCGCGCGCGTGTGCGCACGCGTGTGTGTGCGTGCGTGCGTGTGCATGTGTGTGTGTGAAGCACTCTCGGGCAGGAATCACCCGCCAACACAGAATTCTATACGTTCAGTTGAAGCCAACAAGTATTCAGCGAACATGGCTCTCAAGCAGCCTCTGTACGAGGAGCCGCGGAAACAAAGAGGCCACTGTCTGCCTTTAAAGAGACCGCCCACCTCCACACGGGGAGCGCGAGCACTGCGTGTGGACACCACGCGTGGCCTCGGGCACCTGCAGGGGCTGTTAACCGGAAACCAACTTTGACTCCCTCCTGCAAAGGGCCATCACTCGGCTCTCGCCATCGCGGCATCGCCGAAACACCAGACCGGAGATGGGAGGCAGGGGAGCGGCGGCCGCAGCGGAATGCAGGCGCCCGGGGCCGCCTCCCGGTGCCAGGCTCCGGCCCGCGGATGGGCAGGCCGCCTCCTGAGACTGTCTGGGCCTCCGCCTGCGGCCGGTCCCCCCGGGGAGCACGGTCTCCTGGAGGAGCAATTTTCAGGGGCGGGTGCCGGCCCTCCAGGAAAGGGGTGTCACTCCCCATGTCAACTCCACTGGGCTGTCAGAACAGCCGTCAGCCTGGCCAGCGGCCCGGGGCCCCTCCAGGGGCCGGCGGGAGGGGTCCGCACTCAGGACACAGGGCGCTGGATTGCTGGGAGGGGCACGCGTCCCTCCTGGCGAGAGCGGCACAGACACTGCACGCTGCAAACCAGCGCCCCCGTTAGAAGCTTCTGGCTTGACTTTCAGCTAATTGCTGAATTGGGGCCCCCGTGGACAATGGTGGGCCCGCCAGCCAGCCGGGTCCACTCTGGTCTCGAAGACTGCCTCCTGCCGAGTCCCGCCTCCCGAGTCAGAAACTCGCCGGCCACGGGCGAGTCTACGTCTCCGCTAAGTGTGGATTGTGCGCCCAGCGCTGTCAGCAGTGAAACGGGGCTGCCCTCAGCCGCTCATACATTGGACCACGGGGGCGCCTGTGGCTCAGTCGGTTAGGCATACACTGAACAACGGTTATCTGGCGCTGGTCACCGGACACGCGCCCAGGCGTGGGGAGACCCGTCTCCCAGGAGATGTTGTGTCGGGACCAAGAGGCCACTTGTCACAGTCCAGGCGAGCTGCAGAGGCGGCTGGCCTCACCGCGTGCTCTGTCCCCGCGTCCTGGAGTGACCCGCACCCCGTGTCCCGGCTCCTGGCAGCCGGTGTCCAGTGGGGCAGCTCTCACCCGCGGTGGCCTCTGCTGGGACACGTGTCCTCCTGGCTGGTCCAGGTGAAAAGACAGCACAAGGCACGTGCACATCACCGCTGGGCTTCTTCCGCGGGATTCTGACAAAATCCCCTTGTTGGCTGTGACCCCAGTCGGCCTGCAGCGCAGGAGAGGGGGGCCGGGGGGCCAGACGTTCAAGGGGAACCTCGTGATGAAATTGATTTTGAGTCTGGTTTTAAATGTTAGAACTGAGCACTAGGTGGAGGAGCTTGGCAGAGGCCCCCAAGAGGGGCGCGCTGTGTGTGGGGCCGAGCACCCCAGGGACACGCCGTCTCTAGCGTCTGGGAGCTCCTGGAGTCTCGGGTGCAGACACCCCCAGGGCCGCTCCCTGTCACTGGGGGGTGCGCTGGTCCTGCGGGAGGAAGGCCTGGCCACGCTCATGGCACTGAGGGGCCCGGCCGCCACATCTGACCTCTGACCTTTCCATGACTGTTCCTCTGGGGCTCATGGCCCGGGAGCTGGTCAGTGAACCTGTGAGCTCTGAACGTTTTTCTAGAAAGTTCCCTTCATTTAATGTGACCACAGTCACTTGTGGAAACCCCCTGGAGAGCGGCGGGGCGGGGGGGGCGGGGGGGGGCGAAGTGCTGGCCAGGCGTCCACAGGGCACCCGGCCCCTCTCCTTCTAGAAGCACAGTTCTGGAGCCAGCACGTCGTCACGTGCACTTGGAACAGCCCCTTCCCAGCCTGCTCTCGGGAAAGACCAGGCTCACAGGCGCCGTGTGTGCGGGAGCCTCCCCTCCCGGGGAGGGCGGGTGGGCGCTGGTGGGCGTGCGTCTGCAGCGCGAGTGCTCCGCCTGGTCCGGCTCCCGCAGGAAAATGTAGGACAACAGCTAGGGACAGATGGGTCTCGTCCTTTGCTATTTCCGTCAGGTAAGTTTACGAAAGCCAGTGTTTAGTCACGGCTGTTTAACAACCGCCTTGCTCCGCACTGGCCCAGCAGCTCCGGCCCCACGGTTCGCATGCGCCCGCGACAGATGTTAAGGGAGCAAACGTCCTCCGTCAGCAGCCTGATGTGTGCGCGGCCCGCCTGCTCCGCCGGCCTCTTTACGGCCTCTTAGGGACGCAGATACACGGTGCAGGGCACAGACAGAGGCCGGGAGCTTGGCCCGCGCTCCGAGGGGTCGTCTCGGGGCCTTGGGAGTGGAGACTTGAACTCCCGCTGGCACGTCCACGTGGCTCAGGGCGCGGGCGCCCGGCTCAGACCGTCGGCTGCACAACCTGGCTGAGCAGCCGAGGCCCGAGAGGCCCGTAGCCGCCCCGCTCGCGTTTCCAGCTAGTCAGACGGCCGCGCGGCCCTCCCCTCCCCTCCCCTCCCCTCCCCGTTCTCATCCACTCTCGTCTGCGTGCCCTCGCGGCCTCTCCCTGCCCGGTGCAGACGCCCGTCGGTTTCCAGCGCGCTCACCTGCAAGCCCACCAAGCAGACCCGAGAATGAGGAGGGCCCCACGGAAACGGATATTTCGCCGCGTGTCACACAGGGAAGCACACAGCCCCTGTTGTTGCCTCGGGAGTTCGTCTGCCACACTCTGACCTCGGGAGGCACATAAATGCCACTGTGCTGCTGGGCACAGCTTGGGGGCGGCTGAGATTGGCTCTCACAGCACCACTGCCAGGCAAGTGCCCGGCCCGGGGCCTATCGACCTGGCCAACACCCCCGCTTTCAGAACCCGTCACAGCACATTTCTGCAAACGGGGACGGCTTTCGGGCGCCCGGCTGGCTCAGTCGGTTAGGCGTCCCACTCTTGATCTCGGCTCGGGAGGTGATCTCACGGTTCGTGAGTTCAAGCCCTGAGTGGGGCTCTGTGCTGACAGCGCGGAGCCTGCTTGGGATCCTCGCTCCCTCCCTCTGCTCCTGCCCTGCTCGGGCGTGTGCACGCGCTCTCTCTCAAAATAAACAACTACACTTTTAAAGAGAAAGGAAAGAAAAGACTCTAGAACTACTTCGAGCTCCGTTTGCGAAGGAAGCAGCGTTCTCCGGTCCAGCTCCGCGGCGCCGATGACTGGCCGGGGGTCCAGCTCGAGCGTCACCTCCCGGGGGGGCGGGGGTGGGGGGCGTCTCCCCAGTGAGCCTCCCCGTGGGCGGTCCTGGGGCCCCGGGGTCTTGCCTGACTGAACACTTACCTTCTGGGGGCAGAGCTCGTGACCCGCTGCCTTGTGGCCGAGGCGAGAGGCGCTTGGTCGGCAGGGAGGGACCTGTACCAGCAGCGTCCTTCCCCCTCCTGGGAGCAGAGCGGGGCCCACCACCCTCGACCCCGGAGGTCTCACCCCTGAGTGCAAGGGGCAGCCCCACCCCACCAAGTTCTGAGTCTCACCGTGCGGTGTGAGCCCTGGCTCGTGCGCTGTCGCGGCGACCGCCGCTCCGGAAGCGTCAGCTCCCTGAGGAAATGGCCGCTCCACCCGCGCCGTAACGACGCTTGTCGTCTGAGAGACCTGGTATCTCATTACTCTGGAACGGCGGGGCTGTTGCATTTCCTCCTAAAATTCAAATTTCCAGTTTTAGAACTTGGCCAGTGTTCCATCTGAGAAAAAAGAAAACAATTTTTTTTTTAAGAAAAAAAAATGTAAAGCTAGCAGGATTTGGCTTTTTTTCAACAGCGACTGTTTCTCTCCTGGCGGTGCCATCGTAAGGGTTCCCGCGAACGGCTTCCGAGGGGTCCCGGGGGGCCTTCGATCGCAGTGCTGTGGTCGGAGAGGCTGTGGAGCATCGTTTCCTTTTTTGTCCTGGTGACCTCTGGCTCGTAGGCGTGGAGGGATGGGGACTTCTCCAGTCACCCCACAGCAAATACAGGAAAATGGGTGAGCAGGAGACCATTCAAACCCGGGGCCTCTGCCTCCCAGCCTCTGCGGCACCGTGACTGTTCCCTAAACGTTTCCAGAACTGCCTGTTGGCCCAGGGACGGAATTAACCTGTTCCCTGTGCCTCGTGGGACGCCCCCCGGTGCCGCAGACCCCAAGGTGGGGCAGTCCCTCCTTTAGCGGCTGAGCCTGCCCAGCGGATGTCTGGCCCAGGACGGGTCCGGGGAGACTCCCGTCCAGAAAGGAAATGAGCCAACAGATGAGGGGCCCATGGCCACTCAGTAAAACAACACTTTCCAGGAGTCTCTGCAGAACACGGTCATGGCCTGGAGTCATCCTGGAGGGTGCAACGGCCCGGGATGGGGGCAGGCCCGCCGCTCCCCTGCCTCCGCTTCGAGCCTGTGTCTCCCCCTGTAATGCTGACCTAAGTTCCCACCCGGAGGGTGCCGTGGGAACAAGCCCCAGTGGACGTGAAGTGCCCTGCACGCACCCAGGCCTTTGGGCAACGTCCACGGGAGGCTCCGGCCACACAACGTCGCCTGGGAGCCGCGAGCTGAGCCGGAGCTGGACTTCCAACCCAGCAGGGGGTCCCCCGGCCCCCCTCTCCGGGTGCCTGTGCTCACAGCAAGGCCGTGAGGAGCACGCGGCCATCCTGTCTGGAGCTCACAGCTCAGAGCCGACAGAAGCACCCAGGGCGCCTGGCCGGCTCAGCCGGCACAGTGTGTGAACCTGGATCTCAGGGTCAGGAGTTCAAGCCCCACACCGGGCATGGAGACTAGTTAAAAACACACAGATACTCACTCACTGTCTCACTATGAAACAAGTAAAAAGTTTATGCCCAGAGCAAACTTGCAGCCCGCACACTTGCCAGTGGCCGAGGGAGAGATCCCTCCCCTGGTAATCACATCTCCCCCTCTTCAGTGAGTTGGGGGAGGGGGAGGGAAGGAAGGGAGATTCCGCCTGCGACGTCACAGGGGACTGGTGATGTCACACAGGATGGGGGCCATAGCCTGTCCTGTGATCAGAGGTCCAGGAGTCCTCAGTGCGGGAGGAGATGTGGCCCCGGCGCCCGAGAAGCACCCGGGTCCGTCCTTTCTGTGAGGGTCTAGAGCGGCCCTAAGACGGCCACCCCGCCACTCCATCCTGCAAACGTGGCCTCCCTGGTGGACACAGCGCTCCAGGCCACCGGGCTGTGTCCCGTCATGCTGTGAGATGACCCTTCTCCCTTCTGTCCGTATACAGAGTCCGCCCTTGGGTCTGCCGGTCAGACGTCCCCACAGGAAGGGCTGCAAGGTGACGGCGAGACGGGGAGAGGATAAGGCAGGTGTGCCGGCGCCAGGGCCAGGGACAGTGCCACAAGCCCCTCGCCAGTAAGTGACACGCCTCCATGCACGCAGGACCGAGGCCAGCTGAGAACCTGGGGGCAGCTTCTGCGTGAGGCCGTCCTCACTTCTGACACCCCTGCAGATGAGTGTGTGTCTGCTCTCAGTGAGAACATTCTAGCAACTCCACCTTTGAGGGCTGGCAAAATGAAAACAATAGTTTTCGTTTTGCTTTGTTTTCTGTGAAATGTGCTTTTTCAGCCCACCTGCATCTAATAAGCACAGCGTCCAACAAGGATGTAATGACAGTGAGATAGTGAACATCTGACCCCAAATCAAATTGCCTGTCTCACTCACACTGGCTTAGACACCAGAGGGAACCGACGCAGAAGCGGCCCCCGGCCAGAGGTCTCATCGGGTAAACTGAGCCATACAATGGGAGAAGGGACACGGTACGTGCTCAATGGCACAGAACTTTCCAAGGATATGACAGGAAAGGCCGACAAGACCATTAGAAGTCATCAGGGATCATCAGAAAGATAAGAGGTACAGAGCCAGACAAGTCTGGAAAATAGGTTAGAGCAGAGTCAGCAAACTGGGTAAGAGTGAGGGAGGAGAGAGGAGGGCCCAGGACGTGGGGCCATTAGCAGAGAATGATGAGCAGCCACGTGTCCAGCAAGCAGAACCCCCTCCCTTCCCTTTGTTCATGCAAATAAAAGCTGGACACGCCAGCGCCACGTGGCTTCCCGTGGAACATGCGACGCCATCAGCTCATCCTCTGGGGAGCTTTCTGCTCGTGCCAAGTGCCAGTCCCGGGATTTGGGGTGACAGATGCAGGCCCGCGTGGAGGGGACAGACGCTGAACCAGTGCCCATAGCACAGGAAGTGGATCAATAGGCTGAATGGCTGCAGTTACACTTGCCCCATCACACCCGCCCACCCGCCCCATCACACCCGCCCACCCGCCCCATCACACCCGCCTTCCTGCCCCATCACACCCGCCTACCCGCCCCTCACACCCGCCTACCCGCCCCTCACACCCGCCTACCCGCCCATCACACCTGCCTGTCTGAATATCACACCTGACACCTGTCTGTGGGTCTCTTTCCCCAAAAGATCAGAAGCTGCTCCATGGCAGGAATTTTTGCATCCCAAGTGCCTGGCCCATGACTTGCAGTGAGAGGGTAATTAAGGAAAGTTCTGGAATGAGGAGAAATTATTTTACAATAATAGGAAACTCAATTGACAACTCTGTGTTTGTACATACCAACATGTGTTTCTACTGTGGATTCCACCAGTCAGTTCAACATGAAACGTGGACGCCCAGGTAAGCTGGTTGACTATGTTCTGAGAGCCGCAATCCAGCCATGAAGGGTACGGCGTCGCATGGGCTGTCCACGGAAAGCAAGGACAAGCCGACGGTGCCGGGTCACCTCATGCCCTCTGTCCACGCTGTTTGGTGCCCAAGCTGCTTGGGGACCGCCTTGGCCGGAACCGATTGCGTTGCGTGCTCTTCCTCTGACAGGAGCCTCGGCGCTACATCTATACTAATTTTAAATGCTGGCTCAGCTCTGGACCCCACAGTGAGAGGGAGGACTCAGGATGATTCAGCCCACGGCCGCGTAGATGAGGTGCTGGCAGATCCATGTCATGAAGAATTGCTAACGGAACTGGAATTATTTAACTTGGAGAAGGGAGAAGACAGGCCGAATTCATTACCCATAACAGCTCTATCTTTAGCTCCTGTGACTCCCATTTTGGGGGTTTCTGGCTTTGGGGGGCCATGGGAGCAGTCGCCGACCAGGGGCAGGGGTCTGCCTTGTAGGCAGGGAGGGGCCGTCCCTGACCCAGCTGCATACTCTGCCACCCTCTCCCCCTCTGTTCGTTGGCAAGGTCATGTCTTTCTTCAGTGCAGTGAATAGTCAGACCCGAGTCCAACACAGTAAACCAGGGTCTTGCCCTCTGTTCTTCCAGGCTGTATGTGAGGCATTACTGAACTTTCTGCTCCCACAAATGCAGCAGCACCAGATGACCTCTGAGATTAAGTCTAAGTGGCAACACCTCATTTCAGCTCTAAAATAGAGCAGTTTTCTTCTAACAGAGAATTTGGGGTGTGGACATCATATGACACAATAGTTCTCTGGGGGGTGTCTCTGCCCCCACCCCCGGGGACATTTGGCAACGTCTGGAGAGTCTTGTTTACATATGGGGGGGGGCACTGGGACTGCCCATCACCGGGCAAGCGCAGGACCCCCGTGATCTGCCCGAACACCCAGGAGCCAAGGTGGCGAGGCCTGGCTGGCCGGGGGTCTCCCCGCTCTGCACAGTCCTCCCTTCACCCTCTCCCAGAGCTGCCCCTCCCGGGGCCCCGCGGCCACGGTCCTCTCTTCCCCACCCGCCCGGCCGGATCTGCCAGGGAGCTCATGCCTCCGGACACGGCAATGACAGTGCTGGACAGAAAGGGGACCTGAGCTGGGCCACCCGGCTCAGGGGACGCAGCCGGATGCGTCTGCCCTGGAGGCAGACGAAGCCACCTGCGCTGGGGCCTCCGCCCGAGGGCAGCACCTGCTGAGAAGAGGCCGGACAGGACCGCAGGGCCACCACCAGCCGGAGAAGAAACGTGGGCCCCACAACGTCATCTGAACCCGAAATCCAGGTGCGCCTGCGGCTGGGCTCCCAGCCCTGAGAAAAGGGCTGCGGGCCAAGCCCTCTGGAGGCTGAGCCAGTTTGAGAACATTTCTCGTGTCCAACCAAAGTCCTGGTTACCACATTTACTGATGTCACGGTGTTTGTAGTAAAGGGACAATCTATGTAAATAAAACATAAAGCCACCCACTCTCCAAGAGCACACTAGACCAAGGGGCAATGTTTTTGCAAAGCCTACTCCTTTGATTTGAAGTTAAAAATGTCAGGGGCGCCTGGGTGGCTTAGTCGGTTAAGCGTCCGACTTTCGCTTAGGTCATGATCTCACGGTACGTGGGTTCGAGCCCCGCGTCGGGCTCTGTGCTGACTGCCAGCTCAGAGCCTGGAGCCTGTTTCAGTCTGTGACTCCCTCTCTCTGACCCTCCCCTGCTCACGCTGTCTCTCTCTCTCCTAGAAATAAAAAATAAAAAAATAAAAAAAAAAATAAATGAAGTTAAAAATGTCAGAAAACACCAGAATTACTTTTCTTTCCTTTTTTAATGTGAAGCAGTTTAATAAATTAGGATTTTTTCCTCTGTTTAACTTCTATTTGCTCCACTGTTCTATGGTTTAAAGTAGCACTTTACAGGGGCGCCTGGGGGCTCAGTCAGTTCAGCGTCCAACTTCAGCTCAGGTCATGATCTCGCGGTATGTGGGTTCGAGCCCCGCGTCGGGCTCTGTGCTGACAGCTCCAGACCCTGGAGCGGCTTTGGATTCTGTCTCCCACTCTCTCTGCCCCTCCCCCACTTGCACTCTGTCTCTCTCTCTCAAAAATAAACATTAAAAAAATTTTTTTAAATAGCACTTTACATTCCCAGTATTATACCAAATCGTTTGCAAAACACCGCTAAGTCCTTCCGGCATAAAGCCTTCCTTGATCAGTCGACAGGTTTTACAGGTTACGGGTCAGACAGGGCAGCGTGGCTCCTGTGACCGCCAGCGAGGCCGAGGGGGAGGGGCCGCTTTTTGCACCGTTCCTTCCCCACCTGTTACCGTCAGGAAGTTCCCGCAGGTTTTGTACAGAAGACACAGAAGTACAGAGGAGCACACGGCGCTCGGATCTGCAGGCGAGGTGCCCACGTGCCGCGCCCCATCCTCCATGCCCACGTGTCCTCAGACCTGCCTGGACGCGGACCCGGGAGGCAGCCTGGCCGGAGTCTGGTTCACATCACCGTTGGCAGATTTTAACGAAGACTGTAACACCCCCGCCCCCCTTTCCTGTCATCACATCACAGATGTGCAACCTCGCGGAATGCTTGCAATAGTACAGCGTCCGGTGCAGTGTCCACGTGCGCGTCCCCCACCGTGGCCCACGAGGCCGGTCCGAGCTTGGTGGGTCCCCATTTTGCACTATTATGAATACAGCTCCCGTAAACTTCCTGGGACTCCTCCGTCCCACTCGGTTCCCGTCTGGGACTTGCAGAGAAGGGGCTGCGCGGTCAGAGGGCCTCTGACAAGGGGTGGGGCCTCCATTCGACGTAAGGGAGCCTCCAAGCGTTTCCAGTGTTTGCTGGTGTTTTTATATTTTGTCACTTCCATTGTCGTCCCTTGGGAAGGAGCTGCCCTTGAATATTCTCATCGGACAGATGACGGAACTACAACACGGGCGGAGGCCCGAGGGCCCAGCGGGGAGAGAGCAGGCGCCTCTGCGCTTAGCCAGGCGCGGCCTCCGGCCGGTGGGCTGCACACCTCTCCCCTCCTCGGAGCTGGGCTGGCCTCGCGGTCACCTCACAGGGCAGCGGGACAGCTGCGGACACTTGTAGAAAGTTGCACTGCACATCTGTTTGCTCTGAGAGGTAAATCTCAGCTGCTCTGATGAACAGATGTTTTACTGGTTTTCAGTGGGAAACAATGGCAAGGACCCCACCCCAGCCACTAGACAGAGTGCCGGGACA